ATAGATAGATATATGCATGCACCAACAGAAAGTATGATAAAAAGGATCAAAGAAGCCTTGAGTATCTTCCGACCATGGTCACTTCCGCCGGTTAGAATTATCATAGTTCATGTATAACTTGCACAATGAAAATGATAAAAAAATAATATTATAAATGTATATATAAGTAAGAGAAGGAATTGAACAAGCAATATATTAATTAAACCTGTAAACCATTAAGTGATTAAATGGAACTATCTATCTATATATTATATATATTATTATTAGGTTGGCACCATGGATGCATGCGTGCAGTGCATAACGTGTTGATAAATCTATGACAGAAATTGTTCTCATATATGTATGTATGTATGTTTAAGTATAATGTGTATACGTATGTTGAATTGTAATATTTATTAGAAAGACATCACAGGTAAACAAATCATACACTTTTGCCTTTAACGGTGGCTAAAAAGATATGGCTCTAAGGTCAAATATTGACTCAATCAAGGATCCTATCACTATTAGGGTTTTAATTGAAATATTAAAGTTTAAATGAAAGAAAATATAAAAAATACACCGTTAGTAAATTTTTGAGACAAATTTTGAAAAACTAATAATATATGAATATATAATAAAAAGACGGTTAAATATGAGGAAAAAAATGTGATTATCCCCATTTCATGGCCATGATGAATTAGCACAATCAATACGTCACAATAATTTTCTTAAGCTTTACAAGTGGTATTATGACAACAATGATAAAGTGAAATAGAAATGATTTAAATGCTCTAAGAAGTAATCAGTTGACTTCTCTATTTATTAAAAAATAAGTGGTTCATAAGTAAGAAATGTTATTCTAGTAGAGATTGGGGATATATGGTTTTCTTTTTTGATTGATGAGGCTCGAAATAGTTTTATAAAGAAAAATATATTTTTAAATAGAAGGTTTGTGAATTATCTTGGCGAAGTTCAAGAACGATTTTTCGGTGTAATGCATGTTACTGACACTTTTGCACAATCTTTGAAAAGTTCTATTGATGAGTTATTTTTTTATAAGAAATAGATTATCATGGTCAATTATTAGAGGTCAGGGTTATGATGGTGCTTCTAATATGCACGGAGAGTTTAACGGGCTTATAGCCCTTATTTTGACATAAAATGAACATGCACATTATGTTCATTGTTTTAAACATCAACTTTAATTAGTTATTGTTTCTAGTGTCAGTCAAAATGGATTTGTAAAAAATTTCTTTGAATATCTCTCTATAAATATAATTGTTTTCGGTGCTTTGTGCAAAATGAGAGATGAATTGAGGCAACACCAAGTCGATGTATAAAATTGGATGATATTGCTACACGAAAAGAAAATAATCAAGAAATGAGTCTAGTTCGAACCGATGATACTCGTTGGGGTTCTCATTTCAAGATAATTACTCGAATTTTTAATTTTTAGAATCCAATTAATGAAGTGATTGAAATTATAACTACATATAGTAGTAATGTGAAAAATCTAGGACTTGTCGGCTTATTTGACAAAATGGAAAGTTTTGAATTTAGTTTTGTAGGTCAATTGATTAAACATTTATTGTGAAAGAAAAATCCACCGTCGCAACCACTTCAACAAAATAATCAAAACATAAGTCTTGTTGTGCAAGTAATTATATTTTTAAAGATAAATTGCAAAAATTCAGAACAAATTGTTGAAGGATTTTTTTGAAGAAGTAACCAAGTTTTATTCACATCATGATATTATTGTCTTCAATATTAATGAAATCATTTTGGACAATTGAAAATACTTGTTGATGCAAAAAAAAAAAAAAATAAATTTAATAGACGTTTTCATATTTGTATTGTATTCTTTTTAATTTATTCTGAAAATTATTGCAGTATTATTTTACATTATAAAATATTAGTTTTTTTTTATTTTTACAATGTCAAATAATTGATATTATTTCTCAAAAAATAAATCATTGGTTTACTTAATCAAACTCGAAGCTTTTGACGGGAATAGAATGTCTTAATTCTAGCAATTTGTTTGCTACTTTTGATCAAGAACGGATTATTCCTCTAGCTGAATTATATTAGAAAGATTGTTTTATGCATGATTTATCATATTTAAAGCCGCAATTTGATTCATTCGTTATGAACACTAGCTTTTATTGGAGTTTGTGATATTGGAGATTTTACGTAAAAGATGATTCAAATGAATTGTAAGAATACTTTCTATTTGATTTATCGACTAATCGAATTACTATTGGTTTTGTCAGTCATGATATCTACAGTTGAGAGATTTTTCTCAGTAATGAAAATTGTCAAAATTAATTTACGGAATGCAATGCGAGATGAATATCTCATTGACTATCTAGTATGTTACAATAAGAAGTGAATTTTTGTAACTATTGAAACTGAAGCAATTTTTCAATACTTTCAAAATATGACTACTCGAAAAATTACAACTATTACGACATCATAAAAGATAATATAAAAATATATTTTATAGCTATCATTTTGTTAGATGGACTTAATAATATTATGTTTTGGATTAAGGGCGGTAACTAGATTTTATTTTGATTGGAATAGGAATATCGCCGATCAATTTTATGTTTATAGTTTATTTATGGATGATAAATCATGTTGTAGGTAATTTGTTTTTATAAGTGCAGTAAAATCCTTACTTATTTTATATTTATATACGAGTGTTGTGAATTTATTCCCGGATATTTGGATTTATCGAACAAACCCCGTATACAAAAAATGACAATGAATTAATATTAGCAGAAGCAAAATTCGAATAAAACCCAAATTAAACTAATACCGAATCGAAATGAATTAACACATATTAAGGCAAACGCATATTTTGGAATTTTGAATGAAAACAAACAGACCATTAAATCAATTGAATGTCATTGAACCTCTTCCTGTGACTTCAACCGAAACACGAACTGGGAAATCAATTCTTGATTTCTTCCCTATCGATCAACGGCTTCGGTGCACGGCGGCAAGCGGCGGCTTATTCCTTCTCCGACGGCCTCACAGCGACGGTTCCACACCAGGCAGCAACAAATCATCTTCTCCGAGCAACGACCGATGAAACAACAACTCTCAACTCTGGCGACGAATCCAAAATCTAGCAGCTTCTACGACAATTGCTCCAACCTTTTTTGAACTTTCTTTCACCGGCGAAAAGGACGGCGGTTTTCGGCTCAGCCCCATGGTGCTCGATGGCCTATGGTAACCATGCCTCAAGGTGGACGTCGGCTCTTCACTCCAAACCTCGACACCCACCAGAATCGGCACAAGAAAGGGGATCCCGAACCTCACCGAACACTCATCGGAAACTCAATCGGAGAAACTCACCGGCTACTCTCCCTCTCTTCTCACCCACACTCTCTCTACGGTTTTGGTGTATCTATCTATATCAAAAACCGACTCACCCAAAAAACCCTTTTAAACTAACCTTATATAACTTCCTCAAACTAAAAAATCACACACGGTTATAACCAACATAACAATCTAACAAATTGACTTAGGGTTTGATATATGGATTTGGGAATTGGGTTTGAGTTAGGATTTGGGTCGAATCCGGTGGGCCGAGTTAAAAAATGGGCCAACTTATTTATTTATCGAAGGTCTTTTTAAATTAGACCTTGAACGGTCAAAATTCCCAACAACGAGAAATTTGATTTGTCATTTTTTGGGGTTCATTCGACCGAATAGTTATAATTCGACCGATCACAATATATAATTTATAAACAATTATTTAACGATATTTTCTTTCATCAATACTTTGTTTACATTCGCACTTTTAAATTTTTTTGTACTATTTATTAATTATAATTATTGAAAATATATATTTAATTTCAAAAAATATTCTCTTACAAATAATATTGAATACCCAAATTATTGCAATGAAGAAGGTAAATAGAGCTATTTTTAATTTTTTTTTCTATTTTTTAACCATATGATATTATTATTTTCCTCCCGAAACAAACTCACTATGTTTTCTAATATCATTTTTTAATTGTGATGCCCAAAAATAATTAATAATAAACAATAAACAATACAAAAAACTTTTTATGAAAGTTAAAAATTCAAAAAAAAAAAAAAACACTTCAATTTATCATTACAAAAAATAAAGAGTCAAATATTGAACTTAAAATAATATATTTTATATTTTTTATATAATTTTTCATGTCGCACATTAAAAATCAATCATTTAAAAAAACTGTTTGGACGAGGTCAATTTTTTGTCCATTATACAAAATAATTTTTTTTTATTTGTTTTTTCATAAAAAATATATTTATATTAAAAAAATTATACTTTTTACTATTCTTTTTTATTTTTTTATTAAAAAAATAAAAAGAACATACCATATTAAAATTAGTGTCTACATCAAATGAGTTTATATATTCAATACTCTCTCTGTCCACCTCTAAGATCATATTTACCTTTTGCGTCATTGTACTTAATATTAAAAATATTTTTATATTTATATTTTTTATATAAATATTTTTTTATTAGTATTATAAGACATTAATTAAAGTATTTATATAATTTTTTTAATTTGTACTATGCTTTAATATAATAATTAATGTTCAAATATAAAAAAAAAATAAATGAATTATTATCATACAAAATACCATAAACGACAATTTATTCACTTAAAAAATATTAAAGTCCCACCCGCGCGCCTTTTTTGGGTTTGTTTATTGATGGTTGGTTCTTTTTATTATTTATTGTTTTAGTCGAAATTATTTTTAAAATATTTTAAATAAAAATTAAGTATAAAATATATTTTAAAAATAAAAATAAAAACTTATTAAAATAATAATAATAATAATCCCAAGAAAATAAAGTTGAAAGGGAGTAAACAAATTGTTTGTCTCATACTCTGTGTGTGAGTGTGACCCAAAGAAATAAAAAAGAAAAAGTAAAAAGTAATTGAAAGAAGAATGGCAGTTGAGTTGAATGAGTTGTTAAGATATGATAATATTTATAATCAATGATTAACCTGTCATTTACTAATATATATATATATTCAACAAATTAAATAAATTTGATGTCCTCTCTTTCTCTCTCATAACAAACTCATAGTAAATTCGATTAAATTAAACTAAATTGAACCCTAATTATTGAAAAATCAAAACTCCAATATTGAACCATCAGCTTTATTGTTCGCCGACGCCGCGTTCCGGCTGCTCGACAGACTCCACTGATCGGAAAACCCGCCGGCGCCGCCGCAGCTTAGACCACTGCCGCATTTCGCCACCGTCCGGACGCTGTCGATCAGCTCCTCCGTCTTCCCTTCCTCCGCCAGAATCTTGACCAGCTGCTCCGGGCAAATCACCAGCTTCACCTTCCAGAACCCGCCGGACGACGCCGGAGCCTTCTTTGGAACGGCATCGTCGCCGGCGGGCCACTTTGTCAGGCCTCGGCCGTCGAAGGACATCCGGTAGGGCGCCGGTCCGAGCTGCGGCGGCGGCGCGCTGCTGGATCTCACGTGCCCGACACGTGGCCCTCTGTCGGCGGCGGCGTCGAGCAGGGGGAGGAGATGGTACGATTCGCCGGCGAGGAGGACGTCGGTGTGGGGGAGAGGCTTCCAGAAGAGGTCGTGAGACCGGAATATTCCGTGGCCGGGGAACTCGTCGGTGATGGACTCGACGGTGATGGGGGCGGCGAATTCCATGACGCCGCCGTTGGAAGTGGCGACTCTGATGAGGGATCGGGCGGCGCCGCCGCCGTCCCCCATTCCTCCGATGAGGCAATTCCCCATTATATTTAGGTTTTGGGCAAAGTGGGCATCAACAATTCTGTGTTTTTTGGAGGGTTATTTAAATAAAGTGAAACAAAGAGAGGGAAGAAAAAAAATAAAACAAAAGAATATTTATTAGTTGGGTGTTGGATTTTTGCTTTCTTCTTTCATGACCGGCATTTATTATTATTTATATATATATATATTATAATATTATATTAAATAATTTTTTATATTTTTAAATAAGACGAGCCTAAGAAGTTATTCATATGATACAGTATATTATTAAGTTTTGCTCAATTAGTTTTAAAAAAAAAATAGAAATATAATTATTGTTTTAAAACAAACAAATATGGCAAAATGAGACTATTATTTAAAAAAAAATAAAATATAAATTACATAATAGTATATACTTTTATATCACTAGTTATATATTGTATTATATTAAAATATGCATTATCTATTATATATATATATATTTTTTGTTTGGGTTGAATGAACTTTTAGCCGTAGTCATATCCACCGTAGTAACAACTTTAGTGCTTATTTGATTTTTTTCTTTTTTTTTACTATGTAATTTACATTCCTTTGGTTTCATGTGTTTTTGCAGTAGATTAAAAATTAATAAATAATATTTTATTAGTTAGTAGAAATACGTAGGATGTTTTGATATTTTTATTTTTTTAATTTATATATAAAGTAAATGTATGTATAATGGTTTGTTTGTAATTTAGGTAAAAATTAAAATATTTAATATTTTTGTATGATTAGTTTTACCAAAATAAAAAAAAGTAATACTTTTGAATATTTCAGATGAAAATAATAAAACTATAGTATAATTTTTTTTTTATCATTATATTACCTTAAAAAATTGTCTCAAATTACACTCTCCGTCCTTAATCAAAGAAGCCCTATGGGGTTTTATAGTAGATTTAGATTAAAAATAATAGTAATATTTTATTACTTAAAGGAGGTTTTGATATTTTTATTTTTTTGATTTTTTTTATATATAAATTGTATGTGCAATAGTATGTTTATAATTTAAATAAAAATTAAAACTATTTTGATATTAATATATGATTACTTTTTATATAAAATAATAATAAATAAATATTTTGAAGTGAAGCATACAAAAATAATTAAAAATCTATTTTGAATTACGTTATCAAAAAAAAAATATATATATATATTAACTAATTAATATGTGTGTGGTTATTATATATTATTAGTGAATAATGTTTAGCAATATTAATTAATGAATGCATTTGTGGTAGATTAGGTGCTAATTAGTATTGTATAGGATCGTACGAACTTGTATGCATTTTGGTTAAATATATTGAAGCGATGATTTTAACTTTATTCTTTTTGCATAAATTTAATGCACCGCAAAATTAAACCATTGTCTTTATATTGATTTTATTGAATATGACTAGTACAATATGTTACATATCTACAAATAAATTCTTGAGTACTACTACCAGATAGCCTCAATTATTTATTTATTTATTATCAAAATAAAATACAGAAGATAAAATTACAAATTTATTGTAAATCGTCATGTGGCAATTTCTAATAAGAGCGTACACAGTGAGTAATAAAAAAAATACTCCCCCTCCCCGTCATGCAAATGTGTGCTCATTTGACCGAGCACAGATTTTAATAAAAGTGAGTAATAATTGTTACTTTTTTCCTTTTATAGTAAAAAAAAGTACAAAAATATAATAATTTTTTACTTAAAAATAAAACGAGAATATTTTTCAGTAATAATCTAAAAAGAAAAGTGAGCATAGATTTAAATGACAGAGAGAGTACATAACAGCTTAAATTTAGATAGACAAAAAGTGTAATTAATATTTTGTATTATTTTAATTTTTTTGTAATTATATTTTATCTTTTAAGTTAACTCTATTATTAATTTTGTCCTTCAAATATAAGCTTTGTGATTTTAGTACAATATATGTGTATAATGATTTATTTTTTATGTTTGCCACATGCAAAAATATATATATAAGAAATAAAAAAATTTGATATATATTTAATATGGAAAAATATACAGAAATATACTCTCTCTGTCTCAAATACCGTGTCTGCGACACTGTAGACACGGTATTTGGGGTGTAATTAATAGATAATTAAAAATGTATTAGTGAACATAATTATCCTATAATATAAATAATTATAAATTAAGATTAAAATAACTAATTAGTTTAATTAAAATTTAAAAAAATAAAATTTAAAATGAGATTAAAGTGTGTAATCATTTTTCAAAAAATGAAAGTGACATAGTATGTGGGACGGACAGAAACGGCAACGTGGACATGGTATCTGGGACGGAAGGAGTAATATTTTAAGAGAATTCTACATTACATAATATTTAAATAAATAAATAAATTTCAATTAAATTAGTAACCAAACACCGTTGAGTGAGTGAGGAGTGTATGTTTTGTGAGAATATTAAAAAAGAATTTTTTTTTTTTTATATGAGATATATAAAATTATATAAGTAATATAAATACAGTGAATGCTTATAATGTATTAATATTTTTTAAAAAATATAAAATAAAAAATAAAAAGAACAAAGCCTCGAGTTTTCTTGGGTCAGCCCGGGTCGGATCCATCTATCTCAATAGGTTGGATCATTCCAAGTCAATCCACATATATTTCTCGGTAAATCAAATGTTTAATTTTTTTAAATATATATATATATTTTAGAGAAAAATATATTTGATCATATTATTTTTAAAATAGGGAAAGAGAAATATTTGTCAATCCACACATATGCAAGTCCACATTATTTTGGCATGTTTCACGTAAACACCGCTAGTGCATTTATCCGGTATCGGTATAGAAATAAAACATTATGGCAAATTTAGTATATATCGTCGTCTTAACTTAAAGTATTCTGGTTATATTTAAAAGTATCTCGTTCATATTATAGTAAAAATAATCATACATTAATACTAAAATAATTTAAATGTTACTTTAGTTATAAATATATAATTATATATATACATAAAATACAAATAACAAAAAATATCAAAACTATTTTAAATACTTCTATTTATTGGTATAATAATTTTCAATAATATTGTGTCAAATAATGTAAAAAATAAATAAATAAATAAAAATTGAAAAACCCGTCCAAACAAACCCTGAAAATTCCCCATGTATAAAACAAAATTAGGGGAAGTAGAAAGTGTAGACAAGCTTTTTGATTTGACGTCGGCTTCTCGTCTTTCTCTGTATGTACAAAATGAAATATTACCAAACACTATTACTCCTTCCGGACCAGATACCGTGTCTGTTACACTATAGACACGGTATTTTAGGAGGGATATAATTATTAGATAATTAAAAATGTATTGGTGAAAATAATTATACTATAATATAAATAATTATAAATTAAGATTAAGATAACTAATTAGTTTAATTAAAATTTAAAAAAAATATAAAAATTTAAAATGAGATTAAAGTATGTAATCATTTTCCAAAAAAAAGAGTGACATGGTACGTGGAACGGACAGAAACGGTAACGTGGACATGATATCTGAAACAGATAGAGTATTATTATTATTATTATTATTATTATTATATTATTATTATTATTATTATTATTACGTGGGCCACAAAGTACAACAACGAAAGCTCAAACCACCAAAAGCTAAAGTTCCTGCTTTGCCCCCACACAACGTTTGACCATTATTTACTCCCTCCTACCCGGCCAAATGACTCTTTTGTTTAAGGACACGATATTTTAAATAGTGTAGATTAATAAGTTATTAATAATAAGTTATGATATTATTTTATTATTTTTATATTAGCAGTATTGTTGGCATTTTAAATATTTTTAGTATTATATACCAATAAAATATATACAATATGAATATCATTTTGTAGAGAATAAAATTTTATACAATACAAATAAATAAAAAAATTATTTATTTATTTATTTATAATTAACTTAAAACTAATTTTATTAAAAATAATAAGTTTTAAATATAGATAAATGGGTCCTAAGTGTAAGAGATTATAAATTTAATTAAATTGATTTATATTTGTTAAATATGTTTAAGATAAATAAATTTACTAAAAATAAAAAATAATTATTTTTAATGGGACGGACAAAAAAAAAAAAGGCCATCTGTCGCGGGAGGGAGGGAGTATAAATTTATACACACACAGTTATATTATTATCCTAATTAATTACACCCTTAAATTTAAAAGAATTTTAGTCACCATACTCACAAAATGTTATTTATAAATTAGTGTACAATGAAGCCAAATTCATTTAAAACCTTAACCACCAAGAAATAATTTCATGTGTAATGTACACAACGAGCTTTATAAAGTGATATATTATAATTTTCGGTAGGAGATCAAATGCTGAAATAATAATTTCAGTACATATGCTGAATGTGTAAAAATAAATTATGTTAAATAATATTATTAAATTATGTAATTAATATAATTAGAAATAATTAAGTTTTAGTTGTCAGCATATGTGTGCTGAATTTATTATTTCAGCACTGGATCCATGCCGATAATTTTCAATCATATTATAATTGTCTATATATAGATCTTTATTTTCATTATTAATGCAATTAACTTTTTGAATCGTTTACAACCTAACTTATATAAGTAAATGTAAAGATCACAAAATATATAAGAAATAAGAGAATCAGTTTCAAAATTGGAGATAATCTTGTTTTTATTGATTCGAAGGCCAACGGTGTGATTTTTAGATATATGATTCTACATATATTTTGTTCTTTATCCAAGTCATTGAGATAGTCAACTAGCATATAGTTTGAAAGAAGATTTTTCTTTCAAGAACAACTTTATACAAAAGAATTTTAATATTCTTTGTTTGTTTTTTTTTCTATAAGAATTTGTGTGAGTTTATTTTGATAATTACATATATTGGTTCTACATATTTTGTTCTTTATGTAAGTCATTCATAAGAATTTTGGATTCTTGTTTTTGATCCACAAGAATTTGGATGAATTGATTTGGATAATTGCACATATTGTTTGAGATTTTTTCTTCAAAGTTTTTTATCCCCTATTTTTTATTATAGTGAATTTTTTTCTTGGTCTAGGGTGATACTTCGGAGTTGGACCGATGTTAGTCCAACTCTCTTGTAGGAATAAATCGGTATTACGCTATCCGAAATTGAATAAAGATTAAATAAATTGATATATTACTCAACAATATGCATATTTTTTTAGAAGTCCTATTGAAAAAATTATATAGTTAAGCGTATTTGTCCTAAAGTAATTTGATGATAGATTTTTATGGAAAGTCTCTTAGGGTGCGCATGACTAAGAACAAAGCGCACTACTCATGATGACCGGTGAGGCCAATATAATCCCGACATGCCTGGTCAAGTTCGCTTGCGGGCCGAGTATCACATCTAGACAATTCATAGTTTTTATTTTTATTTTATTTTATTAGTATATTAAGAAGTTTTTTAGGTTAATAATTGATTGCGAGTCTTGGCAAATTTAATTTTCTATTTTTGTTTTTTCTATTTACCTAGTACTTTTAAATCAATCTTGAAAGAAAGAGGTAAATCCGTTGCATTATTACCTTTTGTAGAGTTATGATAATTAATTTTTTTTCGTCAACATTCATGTGAACTATGGGTATGTTTACTTTATATATTTTTTAAATAAATGTATTTTTTATACTTCCTTCGTCCCATAATAAATTATTCATTTTTTATTTTAGTTCGTCCTAAATAAAGTATTTATATTTTTTAGTAATTGTACAATCTACCTAACATTACAAATACTCTTACAACTTACAATATATTACACAAATGTCATTATTTTTATATTACAAAATACTAATAAGGTTATTTTAGTCATTTCTATTTTCACTACAAAAAAAAATTGGAAATTGCAATGGAATATTGCTACGGAATACAATCTATTGCAAAATTGCAATGGAACTTATTAGGCAACAAAGAAATAGTCTCAATTGCGATATGTTGTGAGAGAATACTGCAATAGAATATATTTGTCACAAATATTTTTGAAATTACACAAGGAATATAATATTCCGTTGCAAAATTGCGACGGAAATAGCAACATATTAAATTTGTTGCAGATTTCTTAAAAATTATGCAACGAATAAAATATTCCGTTGCAAAATTACGATGGAAATAACAATCGATTAAATCTGTTGCAGATTTTTCAAAAATTATGCAACAAATATAATATTTCGTTGCAAAATTGCGACAGAAATAACAACAAATTAAATTTGTTGCAGAGTTCAAATTTAAAAAAATTAATTTTTTAATTTTATAAATAATTTAATAATTATTATTTTTTAAACTTTTAATTTAATTTTTAAAATTTTAATTTTTAATAATTAATTTTATTTATTTATTAAATATTTTTAATTTTTTTTAATATATTTTTATTAATTTTGATTTTTTACCAAATTTGCCATAATTCTCCCTTGCGATACTCACTTCCTAATTCTCACCCGACGCTACTCACTCGCAAACAAGCTTAGACTTGCCAAAACGGTTCAAACCATCGATTGCGATTACAAACCGCCGGTTACGGTTTGTCAAAATATCAAACCGAAACCGAACTTTCCGAATGACGGTTTCAGTTACGATTTGACGGTTTCGATTATGGTTTATAAACCGCCCGTTTATATATAATCATTTTTAATAATTTTCTTTTTTATTTTCTATTTTTCTAAAAATTTAAATTTTATTTAAAAATAATTAAGTTTCATTTTAATTTTATTTAGATATATTTATTATATAAAAACGATATATATGAATAATTAATTAAATTATTACAATATAAAAATAATTAAAATAATAAATATAGTAAATAATTAAATTATAAAATATTGTAATAGATAATAAAATAATTTAAATTATATAATAAAAAATTATAAAATATAAAATATAAATAAAAAAATATTAATAGTATTATTATTTTTTAATATTAGTAATAATTATTTATATTTATTAATATTATTATTGTTATATTTTAAATTTTAATTATAAATATAATAATATTATTATAAAATATACATAATTTAACCCTAATATCTAATGAATACTTAGCCATCCACATCCACACTCGACGGACGCCGCAGCCACCCTCGCACACAGGTTCTTCTCTTCCTTCGGACGTCGCAGCCGCGCCTGCGCCCGCACACACAGGTTCTCCCTCTTCCTTCCTTCTTCCTCCCATTTCTTTCCTTTCTCTTTTTCTCCTTTTTTCTTCTTCTTCTTCTTCTTCTTCTGTTGCACGCTTGCCTGCCCCTGCCATTTCGTAGGGAATCTTATCTTGATGTCATACAGAGGTTTGTGCAGTAAATTCTTATACAGATACTAGTTAATGTGAATAGCTCAATTATCAAAAAGCTTTGATTATATTCATCTGTTTTTTCTTCAATCTTCAGGTTGGAGCCTGTAATTATCGAGCTTGAACGACAACGCGGTCCAGTTGTGGTGATATCACACCGGGTAACACATTTCAACACTTGAATAAATTTGCATTGCCAACACACTTCTACCAATATCATATTATTCTTCTTTTGGTGGGATCATAGGCGGTGTTGAGAGCTTTGTATGCTTATTTTGCTGATACTGTTGATTATTCTCTTCCAACTTGCAAGTTTTTTCTGCTTTTGGATTTGTTCAAAAAATAACCACTTTTGAGAAGACAACTGGTTTCCAAGTGGGTATCTTGTAGACTGATTTTTTTTAGAATGGTATTGTTTTTTGGGTAATCAGTGATCTCTGTTGTTCACTATCTCCTTGTTCTTCACTCATCAGGCTCCGGTGCAATTTTCTGATTCAGAGACTGCCTCTTCTGCGAAGGATGCTCTTGATGGAAGAAGCATTCCAAGGTGATATGGATTTTAATATTTGGCTTTGGATGTACCCCAAATGTTATCAATACATTGGGGTTCGGCATCTTTCAGAAGCTATTCTAAGAATCTGCTGAAAGGGTACATGCATGATCCCTAGCCCACTTCACCTCTCCCCGATTAGTTATTTCTGATAACCTTTACCTTTCATACCTTGGACCACTGTAAATAATGTTATCTTCAATGTTGGGGTGGATCTAAATTGCTACTTCAAATATATTTTGGGTAGGATAGAGCTCTATCTTCAAATGCATGAGGTTTTTAGTGACTAAAATGACTGATACTAGATGAAATGGTTTTTAAGTTGTGAAAATTGTTCAAGTTCTGATTGGCCACACTGTTCATGTTCAAAAGGATTTAATTGAAGTTATTCCCCATCTACTGGATGCTTAGCATGTTCATCCCCACTTCAAAACATCGATAAAAGATCTCAGCTGGTTTCTCCTGATTTCCAAGTTCCTCAATTTTGAGGCTGTGCTGCAAACAACTGTTTGAGATCTCCATTTATTCATTGCATTTCCTAAATTTGTTGTTTTTCTTTTGATGCTTGTGTTTGATCCAGGTATTTAACTCAAGAGCTGGGGCCATGCTCGCTTAGGATCACATATTCTGCACATACGAACTTGAGTGTTAAATTCCAAAGTCATCGTAGTAGGTAATTGAGCCTGTTTTTAGCCAATTCCATTATAATGAAACAGAGCTGATAAACATGACAATATTGTAATTTTGTTCTTAATAATTGTAGAACCCTATAATCTAGAACTTTTTATGTGTATTAGTATTTAGAAATATTCAAATATCTTATTCTATGCATTAATTCAGGGATTATACCAACCCGCTCCTTCCTGTTGCTCATTCGGCTATGGATGCTAGTGGCCAGGTAACAACAAAATGAACTGTTTATTTATTATGAATCATTGTCTCTCTGTTGTCCTAGATGAAAAGTTAATGTGATCATGTTGTGTTAACTTCTGAGATTTTACCTATATAGCCCATTGATTTTCACGTTGCTTTTCCTAAGATGATATATTCTTTTTTGTAGATCATTCTAGTGTGTGGAGAAATTATCACTTGTTTAAATAGGATATTGCAACATTGATTTCTTGCAATTGTTATAGTTTCCCATTGTTAATTGATGCTCTCTCACATCTAACTTTATTTTCTTCATGCAGGTCAGTTTTGGAGCACCATCCATTCATAGGTCCGAACCCGATTCAGATGGTGGTAGTGTTCCGATATCATGATATTTTATCATTACAAGTGTTTTAGTTACGACTTTAGTTTTTTTGGTATGATATTATGGTAACTTGAATTAGATTTATGCATTTTTCTGATATGTGTTACTTGCGGTACTCATACTAAATACATTGTGTTTTTGGTCTATTGATAGTGTTTAAGTTTGAAAATTTTATATGATTTCAACTAGTTCTTGTATCTTTGAGAAGATATATTAATCGAATCATTAACTTTATTGATTATGGAGGATTAAATTAATATTTTTGAGATAGATATTGAAAAAAAAAATTGACAAGAAATGAACAAAAGAAATTGTAAAAATTGCGACGGAATTAGCAATAGTTATATTCGCTCGCAATTTGCTATTCTATTTGCAACGGATCTTGCAACATATATACTCTTTTTTAAAATGCGTTGCAAAAACTTGCAACAGAATTAGCCACAGATCTTTTCCATTACATTGCACTATGATGACAATATATTTCTGTAGTAAAAAAATTGCGATAGAAATGACTGTCACTAATTCTATTGCAATTCTCTGCAACGGAAAATTTTAATTATCACATTGGGTTACTACAATAATATTTACTACAACTTCCACTTGGTCGCAAATTTCATTGCAATTGAAAGTTATGACAGAAATTTTGTCAGTTGTGACGGAATTTTTCCGTATTAATTTGTAATTTTTTTTGTAGTGTTTATTCCTACTACGTCCCAATATAATACTAATATTTCTAAAAATCCGTGCAAAAAATAAACAAATATATAGTTATGGGACGGATGGAGTATTAGGTATGAAAAATTGTATTAGTAATATAAAAAAATTCACTTCTTTCTCACTACTTATGGGACAATAGTTGGACACAAAGACTAAAAAATAATAATATTTTAATATAAGAGTGGAGTTGGTAAAATGTCAAATAAATGTATTATAAAGAATTTATTAAAAAATTAATAATAAAGTAATATAGCAAGTAGAAAAAGTAGTGAGAAAGTGTTTATTATTTGTTAAAATATGAGTAATGAAATTGTAGGTTGATAAAGTCTACTATAAATGAATTATGCATAAACTGTGATACCCAAGTTTTTCACTACTCATTAGCCAATATATATTTCATATTTTAAGTGTTGATAAATTACTTATATGTTAATTTGTGGTAGTTTAAATATACTTCATGAGTTGCATACATTAGTTTACTTGAGTATTAATTGTTTAATTATATGTTTTGTTTATATTATTTATGTGTTAAATCTATAATCAGTTAAGTATAATTCATACTTTTAGTGTACTTTATATTATTTATATGTCACTGGTGATGCTATGTTATTTATTTTACTATTAAATGTTAAATTGTTTATAATTTGGTATATACTTTACCTGTTTATTAATAAGAAAATATTATCATAATTTATCTGAGATTCTAGTAAGATACAAATAGGTTTGTTAAATTATTTGGATATTAGTAGTGTAAGTTAAATATAGATTACTTGAAAATTAATTGTAGTAAGTAAATAAAAAGTAAAATAAATAGAATAATTAAATAAATAAATAATAATAATAATTAAAAAAAAAAAAGTAAAGTAAGGCGGTGGGGCGGGGTAATAATCCCCACCCCTACCTCATCTATATCAATTCAATTGCAGAAGAACAGGAGAAAGACAACGCGAAGAAGGAAAAATAAAAATAATAATAAAAAAATTAAGTCGAATTCGTTATAAGTTTAGTTCAGGTATTTTTCCGTGTTCACGAATTATTGCTATTTTACTAAGTAGATGAAGTTTTGAGTAGAAATAACTATTTAGTAAATTGGGGTAATATTTGTAATTAATTGTTGTTAGATACAATACTGAAATCGGGAAAAGTGCTTTAAGAGTTAGAGTTATTGACGTTTTTGGCGAATTTCAGGTAAGTAGAAATTCATTTGCAACTACTATGCATAAATATATTATTTTGTGAGTTAATTATGTTTGATTGATAATAGGTGAATATCATAAAACTGTAATATGTTATTAATATTCTGTGATTATGTGGTTTGAGCCTGCGAGCTCTATATATAAATTAGTTTTAGTCTGTGAGCTCTGTATGTGATATGGTTGAGCTAGTGAACTCTATATTTGATGTTGAAGGAGTTTGTGAGCTTCAAAATTGATGTGGTTTGAACCAGTGAGTTCAATAATATCTGTATATTGTGAAATATGTTGCATTGCATTTTTATTAAGTACGCATATCATGCATTGAAATGAAATAAGATGATTTTACTATGTTAGACCGCTGATTATACACCAAATGCGAGAGACGATTTGGGAAGAAGCGACCTAGGGCTACCTGGTGTAGGCCACCATCTATTGTGACTTTACATACAATGCTTAAACAATGCATTCGGAAGAGGCGACCTGGGAAGAAGCGACCCGGGGAAACCTTACGAGGAAACCCGGTGTAGGCTACATGGTATAGGCCACCGTTTGATTTGAATATGTGGATATTGAGTTCTTTTCGGTGTATACCAGTGTATCTAGGGGCCCTGGAGAGTATTTCATAAATAAATTGGTGATTTCAAACGAGAGCACATTCTGCATATTGAGAATTTTGAGATAAACTTCACATCATACATAATTTCTACTTACGGAGATTTATAAATGTCACTCAGTTTATGCATTGTAGGTAATCCTGATGATATATGGCTTGATGGTCAGACTGGAGTAGCCGTGGCGCTCTTACAGGCATTTTGAGTTACCATGTACATAGATGACAACCTACGGGCAGGACCGTGGCTTTTTTTGCTTCCGTTGTTCTATATTACGTTTGTTTTAGAAGTTGTATGATGTTATAAATAGTATGTCGATTGCGTAGTTTTTGATATGGTTTGAGATCCTTTTGGTGAATGTTGACAGCTTACTGTTGAGTTATGTTATGTTTTGCTGAGAAAAAAAATTATAGCAGATTAACAGATTGTTATATATGTAAGTAATTAAGAGAGATTATAGCATGTTTATCGTTTACTTATATGTGAATTGGCGTTAGTAGTATAGTGTAAGTGGGGTCGTGTCAGAGTGGAATCAGAGCACGGTTAGCTTCCTGTAGACTGTCTATGTACACGAGCTCAGAACTTGAGAGAGCCCGGCTATACCCAGTAAGTGTTTATTTAAAATTTGTTTATATTTGTGTATCATGAATTATATTGACTTTAGACTTTACTTAATAATGAATTGCTGGTTATTAAATAATTTTATAATGAATGGCGATTGGTTTCCATGTTACGTGCTCTTCTATTTTTAAAAATTAATGAAGATGATATGTGGTAAAATGATTCCTACTACCGTACTTCTACATAATGCTACTGTTACTAAAATGTTATTGTTTAATCGCCGCTGACTGCAGCAGTGTGTGCTCGTGAGCATGTGTGATCGTGCATGTGTATTGAGGTACAGTACATGTGTGGTAGTCATGGTACTTGTGAGTTTAGGTTTGTGTTTAAAGTTTGGATAGAAGTAGTTTTAATTATCTTATATAGGTATACTGTGAATAATACGAATGTGAAACGAATCGGATACATGTTTAGTAGGCTAGAGTCAAGTTATTTCTTGTTCCTACATTTTATGTACTATAAATTATATTGGCCATGTGGTGCAGGACGAGTAGTATTGTTGAATAGATATGGTGAGAGAACATGGTGAAAGTAGTGGTATGGAAAGAACGCCTGAGCAAACAACACCGATTGTTGGTGTTGATCGGGATGTTGTTATAACTAGACTGAAAGACTTAGTTGAACGTCAGGCGCAACAGATTCAACAGCTTATTGAACAAAGAAATGTGGACAACCAGCGTATTGATGTGAATCAACCACAACCGCGAACAGAGCCTGTTGAGTTAGGGTGCGAGCGATTCCGTAAACTGAATCCACCAATATTTGAAGATGCTACCGATCCTTTGGTTGTTGAAGACTGGTTAAGAACTTTAAACAATATGTTCCAATATAGCAGAATTCCAGATACAAAGAAGGTTTTGTGTGCTTCCTTCATGTTACGTGGTAGTGCGGGACACTGGTGGGACACAGTCAAAAGTATCGAAGATGTTGCTGTAATGACCTGGGAGAGGTTCAAGGCTCCAGTCAGAATCATGAAGATGAATGAATTCATACAGTTAAAATTGGGAACCATGACTCTTACAGACTACCTCTGTAAATTTGAGCAGTTATCTAGCTTTGCGGAACACATGGTCAGTACTGAAGCATTAAAAGTGGAGAGATTCCTTGAAGACTTGAGGCCTGAGCTTTATAGAGATGTGAGTATGGCGGGAACTTAAAGAATGACTTATGCACAAGTTGCAGAGAGAGCAAAAACTGTTGAACAAGCTGAGATACAAATAAAACATGCACAAGAGATGAGACGTCATTTTCAGCAGCGGAAAGCACCACAATGGGGTGGAAATAATAGAAAAAGGGCATGACAACCTCAATCATCACGACCATTCCAACCCCGACAAGGACAGAGACCTGAACAAGGAGGACCAGATAAACGTCCCAGGGTGGAGCAAAGAGGAGTACCACTACCGCCGCCACCACCACCACGACCTTTCTGTCAAAATTGTGGTAAATCACATTTTGGGATTTGTCGTAACGAACTGAAAACATGCTCTTCTTGCAGACAAAGGGGACATATGACTAGTATGTGTCCGAGAGCACAAAAGGACTAAGAGAGAGTACCGGCGCGAGTTTTTACGATGACAAAGAAAGATGCAGAAGAAAATCCAGTTGTCACCGGTAAGCTTTCTATCTTCGGTACTTTGACTTATGTGTTATTTGATTCGGGGGCTACACATTCTTTTGCATCCACTGAGTATGTGAGAAAACTGGGTAGAACACCTAACTTAACTGAGGCTAAATTCGATGTGATGATTCCTTCCGGTGATACAAAACAAACGAATTAGATCCTGCGAGGATGTGTTATTCCTGTAGAAGGTAGAGAATTATATGTTGATTTGATCGTACTGGACATGAATGATTATGATGTGATATTGGGTATGGATTGGTTATCGAAATATGGTGCTACAATCGACTGTCAGAAAAAAGTATTGTATTTCAGTGTGAAGGTGAAGAACCATTTTCTTTTA